GAAACAAAAAGAAGCAGTTCTTTACACTTCTTCCTTCTGTTAACTACTAAACCAGTGATCTGTATTACGAAACAAAAAGAAGCAGTTCTTTAGTAGTTAACAGAAGGAAGAAGTGTGAAACAAAACAAATTTAATATTGACCTTGTTATGAAAGATGGAAACTGGACATACTGGTAGCCACAAATGTTTTAATAAAGCTACATATCACTTCCAATGAGGGTTTGTAGAATAAAAATAGTATAACATAAAGTGCAATTGGTTTTACATACTAAGTTGGCTTAACCAAATTTAGTTGGATTGTTTACACAAAGGATTGAATATATGAATGTTTATATCTAAAAATCGAAGTTACACTTTGTGTTAATGAGGCAGAACAATTACTGGCCAAACTTACTATAGTTAATGCTGTTTCAGGTAAGGTAATGTCTTTAATATGAGACAGCTTGTCTTCGGTCAAGCCATACAACTGAAGTTGTCGTTTTCTAGCAACACAAAGCTGAAAATATACGTAACATTTTTGAAATGAAACTGTGTATCAAACAACTAAAATAAAGCTTTATTAACTTTATTAACATCCAATGACATCTATGATTGTATGGTTAAAAGTACTTTTTAACATTAGTATATTAAACAAAAACATGACACATACAAAAAAATTAAGAATTAAGCAGTCAGTTAAAAACAAGAAAAAATTAACCAACAAATTTTAAAGCAGATAATAAATTTAGCTCAATAGCTGCGTAAAGTTGCTAGTTTTAAATTACATATTTAGATATTCATATAATATTTCAGGACTGCAAAAAATTCACATATAACTACAAGTGTGATAGCTTGAAAAAAATTAGAGATGTAACAACATTTGTTTTGTTTCAATTTTCTATCTAGTTAGTATCACTAAGTCTTATTGGTTTGAATATTCAAAATAATTTTTGAATTAATTTCATATTATAAAGATTAATAGCAATGCTGGCTGAGTAGCATAGGTTTAGGAAGGATCTATATTTCCTAAGCTGGTTGAATTTCAAAGGTATTATTGGGATTACACACAAAAATATTGTTTGACAAAGCAATCTAGCTACTCTAGGTTTTGCATTTCTCATGCTTTGACTTATGGCATTAAGTACAGTTTGCTACAAGAATTGGCTTCATTAATCTATAAGCTTTTTTTCTATTTATTTTGGTTCCTTCATATATAGTTAGATTTCTTTTAATGAAAAGTTTTTAATAAAAATAACAACAAAAATTCATCTTCTTAAGAATCCCAGATTTGATCAGACACAACTTTTTGTGAAGTTGAAAATATTTGCAAACTTACTTCAATAACAAACGGATTATTGCCACCAGGGTTCTCATTCAAGCAAAAACAAGACACTGATTTCACCTTCGATGGATAGTTCTGAGGCTGTTACAAACAAATAAACAACAGTTAATGTATCTCACTGTCCTGCAGTGTTTTAAATCTGTTTGAAAGTACATTCTTACCCATGATATTATGGTGTTTTAAATCTGATACTGTAGTATTTAAATCTGTTTGAAAGTACATTCTTACCCATGATCCTGTAGTGTTTTAAATCTGTTTGAAAGTACATTCTTACCTATGATCCTGTAGTATTTAATTCTGTTTGAAAGTATATTCTTACCCATGATCCTGTAGTATTTAATTCTGTTTGAAAGTATATTCTTACCCATGATCCTGTAGTGTTTTAAATCTGTTTGAAAGTACATTCTTGCCCATGATCCTGTAGTGTTTTATATCTGTTTGAAAGTACATTCTTGCCCATGATCCTGTAGTGTTTTAAATCAGTTTGAAAGTACATTCTTACCCATGACCCTGCAGTGTTTTAAATCAGTTTGAAAGTACATTCTTACCCATGATCCTGTACAGTCTCTAAGCCTCTTTCTTTACCAAGATATACACTGGAACGTCAAACTCACATCATGCTTCTCCTATCACATCCTATGTTTCAAAAAATGTCAGGAATCTCTCTGACATTTGCTACTGGATTATTTTTAACCAACAGAAAGAGTAGATTCAAATTTACTGAATTCTCTTCATGGCCAGTTCATTCATTTAACAGGTTTTGAAATATCCAACCTCACTTTCTTTGTTTGCTATTGGGAAGTTTGCCTTAACCAGCTAATGAAATTTTATAACCCATTCATAGCAGAGTTAGAAAGTAAGTTAAATTATAGTAGTTTTAGAACATTCTATTTTTTGTACATGATAATATTTAGTGTTCTATGTACCTAACAGTACTTCCTTAACAGCAAGTAGTAGGAGCATTGACAAGTACTAACTATATTTTGTATGAATACTTTTTATTCACTGTTATACAAATTACTAAAATGTAAAACTAGAAACTTATTAAGTTAGATAAAAAAATTGCTCATGTTAGCACACCCAATTTGTGAGGCATGACTGTAATGCAGTCAACATTGTATGCTGGTAACTTGTTCAATTGTTTACATAAAGCTATCCCATTGTGATAAATAGCTTTTGGCATACTCTGAAAGAAATAATCCAAGTGCAGCTGTATATCAATAAAAAAGTAACCCAGATTTTAAAAGTCTATTCGTTTTGTTCTATAAATAAATAGTATGTAATTGTCTGTTACAATATGCAGTCACTCTAGAAAGAAAAAGGGTAATTTAGATTTACTTCATATTTTTTGCCTAAGCCAGACTGACTAGCACTGATTTTTTTGTGTACAATAAATTTTTCACATTTACTAAAAGCTTGCCAAACTCTGTGATAATGCACAAACTAAATATAAAATTATAGTAAATGTTAATTCTACAGGGTCAATTTAATGGACTAAACCCATGGATGTAAGAATATACAGAGGTTGAGTAAATTATATTAAAATATTTTTGAACCTCACTACATTGTTACAGTTCATGTTGTCACATCCTGTCATGCTTTATCTCACTATCCTACACCTTAATAATAGACCTGTAGCACAGTTTCCATTGCACAAGGCTTAGTTGTAAGGCTGTCACGTCCATAACACACCATCCCTCTCTATATGCTTTCTATAGACCACCTTATGTACAAGGGCGAAGATTCCCTAGTCAAGAAGTCTGATAGTACAGAACTCCACAGGTGCTGCTTCCCATGACTTAGCTGGTATATCCTCATATGGAATAGCATGAATACCAGTTTCATTCTTCAGCTGCTTGAGGAATGCAACAGTTGAAGGGATATATCATGGAAACAGCTTGTGTACATGTGACTTGAGCTGCTTTTCCAGACAGATTCTTCTTCAATATTTTGTGTACTACTGCCTAGGACATGTTGACAATGTTTGCCACTGACCTTTGTTTTGTGTATTCTCAGCTGTTAGAAAATGCTGCATTCTGCTTACAAAGGCTGGGGTACAAATTGTTGCAGGTTTCTTTCTCAATGGTCCTGGTGCCTCAAGTTGATCCATATTCCTTTGTTTTCCAATACTATTAAGTAGTAGGGATATTTCCATCTTTGAATTTCTAAATTTGATCACATCTTTATGACTTCGGTGTGTCAGTATTTTGAATTGAAAAGGGATGTTACAAACCCTTACCAAAAATGACCAAATTTTTTATAGCATCAAACTACCTAGTTCTGGTACATGCCATTCCACTGCAACTTTATATTGGTTCCAAACTTAGTGGTATCTGTGATCTGATTGAAAACATGAACATGAACCAAAATTAAAGTGATAGTCTTAGAGGAGATAGCAAGATTCAAACCGAGTTTGTTTACTAATATAAGGCTTGACCAAAATTATAGAGGGTTGAGTACTTTATATTAAAACAGCTTTTAATATGCAAATTGGTGTGTCACATGACAGCTATTGTAAAAAGTTAAGATTTACATGGATCTTATGTTTCATGAGAGAAATCATCAACATTACCTAACTAAACACTTCATTCTTACCTCTAGATCTGACATGTCTGTGAACACCAGGTTGCCATCACATAAACAAATCACCCTATTTAGTGCTGAAGAAGCTTTTATCTGAACTACTGGTTTTTTCTGTAAACATATTTACACACAGCTTTATTTGGTTGAAGAGTTAAAAAAATTTGGCAATATATTATCTATCTATGAATACTTCAACAGATAGAACTTTGTTTTAAACAGAACATTAAACACTTAGTGAAACAATATCCACTAAAATCACAATGAAAGACATAAATGCTCACTTGTATAAATCATTGAACTTGTGTGCAAAAATATTCAGCTATAATTATACTGAACCACATGAAAACTGAATTGCTGATGAAAAATATCCAGGTAAATATACTAAAACACATTGTTACATATGGAATTTGCCGATGTTCATAGTGATACTCATGTATTAATAACACAGGCATTGGGTAACATTTATTTCAAAGTTAATAGTCAAAATTTACACATAAAACAAATACCGAAACAACATCTTACACGATCTTCTTACCACAACCAACACACCTTGAATTTCTAGCCCAAAGATATATATTTATATATATATATATAGGTGAAGTATGTGCCTCACTTAGCTATAGCTAAGTGGTGATTGGCCAATCACAGTAAACAAAAAACAAATATGAATCACTAAGTTGAAATGGGGGTAAGGAAACCAAAAACATGTAACAACATGAAAAATGGTTAAACAGAACACTGAACTGTTGATGAAAAATATCTAGGTAAGTATACTAAAACACATGAAAGCTTAGTAAAGAGAATGTTAAACATTTACTGAAAAACAAAAAATTGGTCAAATCCAAAAATGAATTTTGTTTTAATTCCTCCTGTTCCAGTAAATCCGCTGCTACTTACTCTATCAACAATTTATGTAATCACACAGCCTGAAGATTTTTATAAAATAACTAAAAAATTTAAAATCAAAATGAACTAAGCAGAAATAATCAACTGAGTTTAATGAAGATATTCATAATACTAATTCTAAGACCAAATGACCCATCTGTTATTGGGTGTTGTTACAATCTGAAACGAAATCATTACAGATTAAATTATCAGTGTATCTGAATATTTTATACAGATTATAAAATATCAGTGAAAGGATACGTCTGTCAACCCATACCAGTGATAAGACATGTTTGTAGTATTGTATCACACACCCAAAACCCTTGGATCCCCAATCTTCTGAATAACGGGATTGACTGTATTACATCCAGAGTTTAAAGTGTGAAGTGTGTTTGGTAGTACCATCTTTCACACCCAAGACCTTCAAATTCCCATCCCAATATGCCAACCACTAGGCCATGTTCAGGCCCATCAGTTACACAACATGTCTGTACAGTTCTACCAATTACACAACATGTCTGTACAGTTCTACCAATTACACAACATGTCTGTACAGTTCTACCAGTTACACGATATGTCTGTACAGTTCTACCAGTTACACGATATGTCTGTACAGTTCTACCAGTTACACGATATGTCTGTACAGTTCTACCAGTTACACGATATG